CGGCTGACTGTTTCCAAATAACTAAGTCTGCAGGGGAAAAAGGCACTTTTACAAATACTGGCCCTTCCATTCCGACACTTTGTCGTAAGGGGGCAATCACAGTCTGTTTTTGTTTGCTTATGCCTTTTCTATGCACAACTGGGGCAAGCTTTGACCGACTCCGGGTTCTGTGGGCAATTGGGGTCACTGATTCATTACCATTGCTATCTTTTTCACTCGCATACCTCTTTCTCCTTTCTGTCACAGTTAGGTTTTGCTCATCTTCCGAGGAAGAGGGACCGGGTGATGATGGGAGAGGAAGATAAAGAGGGAAAGGTGTACTAGACGAGACAGGCTCAGGACTAGGTGGGTGAGGAGCAGGTAGTGGGATAGGGACAGGTGAAACAGGTGAAACAGGTGGGATAGGGTTAGGTTCTCTTGTAGCTTTCTTAGCTCCTATTGGACCTACTTGTAATTCAACATCTGTATAATTTTCCCTACTCAAGCTTTCTTTTAATGCCAAGTGTTCTAAACAACGTTCCTCACAAACCCCACACTTTGCAGATGTTTTAACCACTAATAATCCACATTCATCCTGCCATTCTGGCTTTCCCTGTAAATAGAAAACCAGATCAACAAACGGGGCTTCATCCCATTTTCCTTCTTGTTTACAAAATGACATTAACCGCGAAATAGTGTTATATTGCAGAGTACTGTATTTTAGCCATTTTTCACCATTCTCCAAGGCATATTCTGGCCACCATGAATTACAGTAATCAATCAACTTAGTTTTACGTAATTCTTCCCCAAAGTTACCCTGTTTCCAATGTGCTAATAAGCACCCCAAAGGAGAAGTTTGCGGGATAGGGGTGTTACTGCCCAAAATCCCTTTAAATTTCTCCATTTCAAATACACCACAAATGCCAAACCCGCAATGCTTTTGTGATTGTCTTATGGAACGGCGCCTAGGCTTGTACCAACAGGAATTCCTTTAGCCCAACCAAGTGTAGCTTTTGCTGCGTCTTATTTGGCAGGCATCCAAAACCAAACCAAAGTATAAAAAGCACCTTACCTTTCTCCCGGGGACGTTGTGAGCGGCAGGAGCGGTCGCGGCCAATGGGCTCCCCAAGAATCCCTCAGTGCCGGCTGGAGCGTGATCAAGTCGCGAACTCGCTCAGCACCACTCACAACGGTTCCATCTGAGTTGCCAAAATGTTAGCGTTCAAAAACACATAATCACGGAGCGATTATATGCAGTGCTTTTTATTAAAGAGCTCTGGGAATCAGGGTATTACCCAAATTTGATTCTGACCATACATTGGAAATGATCATGTTTTTATACTCTATCTTTATATAACTTTCATGTTAATTATTAAACTTATATTGTTCTATTGTATACATAAATTTAGCCCCTCTCTGAATTTCCAACATATTTTCTAATTATTCTTCTTCTGGTTATATAGTAATTATATTTAATTACTAAACAATCATCACATCTAACAATTATGTAATTTATCATACTGCTTACGCAGGTGCCGTTGATCTGGGAAAAGCACAAAGATTAACATTTTAGATTCTATCTTTAACTTTTCCCAGAGCTCCACTATCATGGAGAGAGCTGATGTGGCTAGCAAAGGAGGAGGTGCAGTGTCCTCTTGCATCTTTGTGCTGTAGGTTTTTGAACTGATAGAAAGGAATGGGCCCCCAAAACTGCAGAAGCCCAGGCACCACTCGGCTCTCCTGCACGACTTCCTCCACTGCTGCCTGCAGGCAGACGAGGACAGGCGCTGCTCTGCCCAGGAACTCCTGCAGGTAAGAAAAAGCAAAGGGGCAAAAAGCCCTGTCAGCTGAGGACACCTGCATGAAGGGATGAGGAGGAGTGTGGGCCACGTGGCACACACAGCTCCCAGGACAGGAAGGCGCAGGGGGACACACTGCCCTTGGTGCTCTTGGTGTGTCTTCCTGGTAGCCAGGGAATCCTGCTTGAGCCCATGAGGATGGGATCCTGGAAAGTAAGAGTTCCTTTCTTTGTTCTTTATCCTCTGGGCAGCATCCCTTTGTGACCTCAGGCCATCCTGCCTCCAGCCTGGCTGCTCTGATCATTTCAGCCAAGCAAGTGCAGGTAGACTGGAGAGGAGACACCTGCACCTGAGGAGACCCTTATGCCCTGCCAGCTGAGAGGAGGGAAAAGGGGATGTGTCATCTTGAGGCAGAGCTTCAGCCGTCGCCCAAGTATTAAGAGGAGCTGTGCCCTAGATAGGAAATGTGACAGTTTTCATATTTGCTCAGTTTAGGTCTTAGTTTAGGTTAGATTAGGTTAGGTTAGGTTAGATTACGTGTGTGTTAGGTTAGGTTAGGTTAGGTTAGGTTAGGTTAGGTTAGGTTGGGTGTGTTAGGTTCCATTTAAAACTCTGTTGTTTTTTCTTTCTCAAAAAGATGAAAGTTTAAAAAAATTAGGAAATATAGGGATCAACTTCTAAGGACTATGGTGGCATTGGCACGCTATATACAGTCACAAACGGAACGGGACACTCTGAATCAGTGTCGTGAGCTGTTTATTTCAAACATCAGTCTCAGTACATTGTTAGGACAATGGAGACAGGATATGTTTACAGCTTGCTGATTCAAATGGAATGCCAAGGAAACATCACATTACAGGGTAGCATAAAACCCTCTCAGCCTAAGTTTCAGCCAATCACACATAAAGCAAAACATATTCACAATAATTCTATCCAGTCATATGAAACACACGTAACAGTAGTTAACAAAATAAGGACTTATTTTCTAACACAATGGCTCGTTTATGAGAGACAAAGCATGGCTCGTTTATGAGAGACAAAGCACAGAGGCTCATTCATACTAACCTTCTAAAGATATACATTAAATAAACTTGTTGCAACCTATAAGGGCAAATCACAGGGGCTTATTGTTCTATTTCTCATGTCTGCTCTACTGCTTACAAAACTTTTTGCTGTATTAGCAATGTTCACAAATCTGCTGTCTGAGGCCTGTCTTTTTTACCACTTTCTCAAAACCCTCAAATTTTATGAATCCCAACATTTGGAACATAGATAGCTTAGATAATAGAGGATTGTTTAGCTTAGAGTAGAGTGTTGTTAATTTAGGGAAGCACTGAGGTATCTTATAAGTAGAAATGAAAGAATTGTCATAATAAGAATTAAGCTGTGAGAGGAAAAGCTGGGCTGCAGCCCAACTGGAGCTTGCAGGTGCTCCAATCTGTCAGCCTGAACAGGCCACCTGCAGGACAGAAGGATGAAGATGCAGAAGTAGTGAGGGGATGCTTTGTTTCAGCCTGAGTGCCAATAAAAGTCTAAAATATCCAGAGTGTTGTAAGACTCCCTTCCTTGCCAGGCTGTAGCTAAGGGGACAGTCCCTTTCAGAGGCCTAAAGAACATAGTGAGGTAAGCAGCTTTGCTTACCTGAAGTGTGGAATGCCCGTGGGAAGCTGAGAGACTTGCGGGTAATGAACACCAGGAGATGAGCTCACATTCAGGACAACACTAGGAGGCAGATGTGCAGTCCTTTCTGGGCCTCTTGTCTTGGAGATGTCACAGTCATCAGCAGCAATCACCATTTGGTTCCCACCCTCCTCTCACTATGTCACCTATGGGATAGAATGGCATTGTCATAGCGGCATCTGGCCCTTCCTCCCTGCTTCTCTTTTCCCCCCTTTTCAGCCCAGAGCCCCAGGGCCCATCTGGGCCAGCCTCATCCCCCACGGGTGTGTGCAACCACCAGGGCCTCCTCAGAGCTCCATTCCCACTCTGCTGCTTCCTTGGCCTTTTCCCACATCTGGGCCAGCCTGCTGTTGCCAGCTGTTGGGCACACACACACACAGCATACCACACCTGTCAGGGAGCAATTTGATGCAGGAGCCCCTGCTAACCACCGCTCAACAGCCCGGCACTTTTCCCACCCAGCTGTGGCTGCATTTGGACTCCATCTGCTGGGATACCCACTGTGAGGGACTGCTCAGGGCCTGGATGCTCCTCGAATGGTGCCCACAGGCCTGATTTCCACGCCTCCCCATTCCTCCTACCCCTAAGGCTGCCTCAGCCTTCTAAACACAATTGTTCTTACTCTAATGGCTTCCTGTGCTTTCCTTCATACTGTAAGCAGGAGCACACAGTTTTGATTGTCTTTAATCTAGAATTAATAAAGATAAGTTGGAAGTGCTACAAGACTTTGTCATTTCAAACTTGAAGCAACTGCAAAAAGTAGAGAAGCTTTCTGTGCAGCTTTTCAGTGAATTTAAAGTCTCCTTCCTCTTCACTCACTTTCAGCATATCTGTTGATTTTCCTTTGCTGTCATCTTTTAAGCTTCATCACTTGTCTATGGATTTGTAAAAACACCCTGAAAACCCAACCCAAATTTACTATCCTTTGTATTTCTCCTCTTCTGGAAAAACTGAGGCTCCTGTGATCTCCTCCTGTGATCTAAACTGTGATTCCCATCTTGGCTCTGGCTAAGAGCAGAACAAATGGAATTTATTACCTGCTAGTAAGATCTGCTAGCAAAGGTCACAGTTAGAGCTAAGCACGGTGCTTGTCTCCCTCCGTTGAATACACATCTTTGTGTCTAGGCCTAGTGATTTCCAGGAGCACCTGGAAACTACTGCCAAGGACAAAAGTCTCATTCTTGCTGGTTTGGACATGGATTTTTTGGTATGATTTTGATCTACATCCACAGTGACCAACAGGAACTGGATCTTTGACACAAAGTGCCTTTACCAACATTTCAAAGCATAGTTGGCACTGAAGTCCAGATACTAATGCGTTGTGGTTTCTTTGAACTGTTTCTAACATCTGGTACAATATCCCAAAACATGTCATTTTTGAATGTTTCAGGCATTTAAAACTCAGGCTTATTGTTGTCAACACTTTTCTTTCCTCCCTTCAGAAATCTGCATGCCCAGGTACTAATTTCTTTCTCAGTTTGTTGACAAGTTACCTGTCAGACAATACTTGTTTCTTGACCCAGAGATGGGGCAACTGTCGCCATGAGGCCAGACGTGAAATACACACGTGATCAGGGTACGAGAAGAAAGAAGTCTTTTTTATTTGCGTGTTCTCCGGCTTATACACTCTTAACCAAGCGTGATCTTAAGTCCACCGCTGGCCTTGGCTCGCAGGTGGCCATCAAGCGAGTGTCCCAGGAGCGCATCTTGGAGTGGGCGCGGCTGGGGAGTGAGCGGGGCCAGCGGGAGGAGCTGGCGGGGCGTGCCGGGCAAGGCCCGGCAGGGCGGCAGCGAGGGCAGCAAGCGCAAGCGTGGAGTGAGCGGGGGCCGCGCAGCGCCCCGGGCCAGGTCATGGCGAGCCGCGGCGGGGCTGGGCAGGGGCTGCCCGAGGCGCAGCAAAGCATTGGCCCCGCTGACGGCATTGCGGTCCCCCCGCAGCGCAAGGGCGCCCTTGTGCTCCTGGAGCCGGCGCTGCTGTGGAAGGTGTCGTGGCCTGGCTTCAGCGGCGTCGTGCGGCTCCTGGACTGGTTCGAGGTGCCCGAGGGCTTCGCGCTGCTCATGGAGCATCCACAGCGCTGTCAGCACCTCTGGTACTTCCTGCACGAGCGGCGGTTCCTGACGGAGCCCGTGGCGCGGGGGCTGCTCCGCCAGGTGCTGGAGGCCGTGCGGTGCCGCAGCAGCCACGGTGTCCTGCTCCGCCACATCAAGGCCGAGAACGCCCTCGTCCACCTGGCCACAGGTGAGGCAAAGCTCATCGACTTTGGCTGCAGCACGATCCTCCAGGACACGTTCTACACCCAGATGTCAGGTGAGCCCAAAGCCGGGGCCCAGCAGGGCAGCAAAGTTCCCCCCTTGGCTGGCAGAGGGGGAAGAGGGAGGGAAGGAAGGAGGGAGGGAAGGAGGGGGAATCCTTCTTCAGCCAGCTGTAGCCAAGTTGCTTTTTGGCAGGGCAGTGGCTGGCTGTTGTGGAACGGGAGCTGGCTGGGGGGGAGGGAGCAGCATGGGCCTGATGAGCTGCGCCCATGTCCCATAGGAACACCTGAGTACAGCCCACCCCAGTGGATCCTCTTTGGCTGCTACCATGGCCAGCCAGCCACCATCTGGTCCCTGGGCATCCTGCTCTATGAGCTGGTCTGCAGGCACCTTCCATTCCACACCAATGAGGACATCATCAGGGTCCAGCTCTTCTTCCCACCACGGGTGTCTCAAGGTGGGGATGCACCTTCAAGGCATGAGGGGAAGAACGGGGTTGTGAGAGGCAGCTGGCACATAAGCATCCTACTCTTGCAGCTGGTGAGGAGGTGGATCTCCTGGGCTCAGCTGGAGGAGGTGGCACCTGCGCCTCTGTGCTGGTGTCCTCTGCAAGAGAGGATCAATAGGAAGCTTTTGGGTGTAGCTCTGAGCACTCCTGGTGGCCTGGGCATTGTGGAATGTGGGAGAGCATGGACAGGAGCCTTGTCCCGCTGAGCGGCGGTTTCTGGTTTCTCTCCGCAGAGTGCCAGCACCTCATCAGGTGATGTTTATGCATGGACCCCACAGACAGGCCATCACTGCAGGACCTTTTTGAGCATTCTTGGCTGCAGGAGCCCTGCCTGGCCCAGGAGACAGCAGAGATGCATCTCTGTGCACAGTAGGATCCAGGAGCCAGCATGTAGCAGCGGCACGCGTCTCGTGGCGCTGGAAGAAAACCCCAGAGCATTTCCCTGTGGCCGCAGCGCTGAGGAGAGAGCGCAGCCAAGGAGATGCTTCCGCTGGTCCCCGTGAGCTGTGGAGGGAGCGGATCCATGCTGCCCATCCCACTGGAGAAGTGGTGGCAGTGCGGTGAAGGTGCCACGGACTGGGACAGGGGAAACATCCCCCTGCAGCTCAATGGCATCGTGATGTCCCCGCAAGCCGAGGCACAGCTGGCATGTTCTTCTGGAGCACGACGTGGAGCTGGGAACACCATCCTGGAGCTGGCCGCTGGCAGGGCAGGGCTGATTGGCTTTGGCTGTGGCCCCTGCCTGGAGGACACGCTCTGCACCCCGATGGACTTAAGATGAGTCCCCAGCCGGCGCAGGGGCGGGGGGATGCTGGTGCTTCCAGGCACGGCAGGGCTCGGCCTGGCCACGTGCTGGAGGTTCCCCGCTCGGCAGCGCTGGGGAATATTAATTGTTCCGCTGGCCGCCGAGCTGCTTTTTGTGGAAGGGGAGCTGGCTCCTGGCCTTGCTGACAGCTTCTGCCAGCCAGCCTGGCACGGGCTGAGGTGGGGGCAGCCAGCCTGACAAAAGCATCCATCCATGTGGATGGGGGGCGGCAGAGGGGGACGGGTTCCAAAGCTGTGCCCCAGCTGGCCTGCTCTGCAGGCCCTTGAGGAAGGGCTGCGTTTATGGGCAGGAAAGGTGAGGATTTTCCCCACCCGTGGACAGGTTTAATTCTCCCATGGAGTGGTCAGACTCTCCACAGGCCCATGAAACAGTGGCAGGCTTTGTGCTTTTTCTTTTTTCCAGGTCTTGTTTTGAATTGGCATTCATGCAATTGTTCTTTGTTTTTCCCAGGAGGATTACACCTGGTGCCCGGACCGGACGGGGAAGCACCTGCAGCATCCGTGGAGCGCGTCCAGTGCCAGTGCTACCCCAGGGGCCACGGTCTGCAGGGACAGCCCCTTCCAGAAGGACGAGGACCTGGTGCGGGATCGGCTCCTCTCCTGGCAGCAGCTCTCCAGAGGTGGGCATCCGGATCCACAGCTCGGCTGGCAGAAGGGTTCTGGGCAGGCGGCAGCGGGCACGCGGGCATGCCGCTCCTGCAGCTGCTGAGGAGGTTGCTGTGCCGTGATTAAGCAGAGGAGGTGGAATATGGCCTGCCCCGCTGCCCTTCTCTAAAAACAGAGAATGGTTCGGGAGGTTTGGGCTCTGAGCACAGCCAGCAGCCTGGCCTGGGCACAGCCATTGCGGGACAGGGGGACAGGAGCCTGCTGCGACTGACCGTGGCTCTCTGATTTCTCTCCGCAGGCTGCTAGCGCCTCATGCCATGGGAATGGCCCCACTTGGCCTGCCAGGCTGGGAGGGCTGGAGGGCGGCCGGCGTTCATTTGCTGTCAAAAATAAATTGGGTTGTTTTGTCATTGTCATCATCGGAGCGTTTCTTTCATCCTTTTCCAAGCTTTTGGCCTTCTGTGATAAATGAATGTCGTTCATGCTAAGAAAATTGTAATTATATCAATATTTTTGGAAAATAATTCGAAATGTAAATGTGATTAATATGAAGCAAATGGGCTTCTTTGTAGATGATACATGTGGGAAAAAGTATACAGGAGATTGGAATTGGCCTTGATGAACAAAAGTTAGGAAGACTCCCAAGTCAGAATTGGCATCAAGACAAAGTTAAGACAACTCCCAGGACAGGATCGGCTGTGACATGAATAAAGTTGGGACAATTCCAGACAGGGAGTCTAAAATAGTGCTCTTATCTATAAAATAATAAGGCTTACTTGGAACACAGTGCTTACTTACATAACACAGGACTTGGGGCACGTGCACAACCTGCCAGGTTATTCAGAGGACAGCGAGGAAGACTGCTGGCCTTCCTCCAAGAAGAGCACCAAAGAGCCATAAGCCCCCTTAGCCACAGCGGAAGCATGCGCTGTGTGTGCTGTGGTGATGTAGATTTCAAGAATCGGAAATAGGAGGAGATTTACAGGAAAATATTGATGAATATGTATTAGCACACAGTATATAAGTTGTGTTGGGATCCTTTTGCCTTTTGCACGTGAGGCAGGGTGGGAAGCCCTCCCCATACCCTGATCGATGGGTTTTGCTTATGCTTTATCCAAACCACTGCCAAATTTCTTTTTGTAACTACTGGATGCTATTTGATCGTATCATTTTATCTCAATTAAAACTGCTGCTAAATTGTAAGTTTGTGGTTTATTAGACATATGGGACCACATATATAAGATCAGGAATATGACTTAATAGTTTACAAAACCAAAATGAATATTATTCAGCTAAATTAACAAGGAATAGAAAAGCATTCGAGACTTAATCACAAAGGATAAAGTAACAGAAATGATGATACTTGATTAAATGAATACGTTTTTACTTAATGAGTTAATAGCTCAGTCTCCTCTGGCTTTTGATCTCCTCCCCAGAAGGGGTGCAGTTCTTTGATCTCCTCTCCATGGGGGGCACAGTCCTTAGGGTTTGGTCTAGGCTTTGGCATGGGGTGTTGTGTTTTGGATGATGATGACTGCCAAAAACCCCCATAAAATCTCCCCTGGAACCCCCAAATTCACTCAAACTCCCTCAAACTTCCTCCCAACCACCTCAGGAAAAATTTTGGGTGGATTTTGGGGGGGGGGGGGTTGGGTACCTCATGCATGCCAAAATGGGCATAGGATTCAAAACCACTAAAAATTCTCCCCTAAAATTCCCCTAAAATCCCTCCAAATCTCCCCCAAACCCCCAGAGGATGGATTTGGAGGAAATTTTGGGTTAATTTTTGGTAATTTTGGGTCAATTCTGGGTGGATTTTGGGTGGTTTTGGTACCTCCTGGACACCAAATTTGGCGTAGGATTCAAACCCAGACAAAATCTCCCTCAAATCTCCTCAAAACCCTCCAAATTCTCCCCCAAAATGTGGGGGTTCCCAGGAGGGGGCACTGCTGATCCAGGGCATCAAGGCACTGCCTGCAATCGTCCATAACCGCCCCTAAGGAGCCTCCAGGGCTTTACCCTCCATGAGCTGCAGCAGACGTGTCAGGAAAGGTGACAAGAGCCCGTGGAATGGTCCTTGTTGCAGGCAGATTAGCCACTTGTAGCTCTTCAAAACTCCCTCCCATGAAAAACAAAAAAACTTAAACCGTTCCTAAATGTGAAAAACACGTTCACTCTCCTGTGAAAATGTAAAAAGTTTAACAAAGGACAATGGGAGACCAGGACCATGGAGCAAAGGTTATCACGGCCGGGTGCATCTTGGCACTGGGGATCCCCCTGAAATACCTTTCCCCTTACATCAGCCTGTTGCATATTCATAGACCCTCATGCACAGCAAACTTTACCCCCAAACTAGTTTACATGCTTCAAGAACGGTTTAGCACGGCTCTTCCTTGGATCTGCCTTTTTAGGGCATGCAGATTCCTTGGTTGTGGTTTTAGTCCATTCTTATCACCTCCAGTTTTTGGGCCTTGGTCCATTCTGCCTTGAGACGGGGAGTGCTGATAGTTGGCAGATCTGTACAGGTGTCCTCATCCTGTGTGCATTGGACGTTATCCCATCCAAGTAGGCAGTTTAACACAAGCAGCTATTTCACTAAGCTTAATTAATGACAGAAAACAAAACTATATCTTTACAACACAGTTACTTTAACATCACACATATAAAATCTATTTTAATATCTGTGAAAAGCCAATATTATAATACGTATCCATAAAAATAAACCTCTCGCTGAATGATGGTAGATGTCGGTCCCATGGCCCAGTCCCAGTACTGGGAATTTTGCTTCCCTTACTGGAAATTCCCCTCCTCGTAAGCTTTCTACCCCCATGTTTTTAAGGTCACTATCGTTATACACATATATTATAATATTGACTTTTCAAAGATATTAAAATGTATTTTATATCTGTGTGTTAAAGTAACTGTTATTGTCTTGGTTTGAAAAGACAGGTGTCAGCTAAGGAAGGCAGGTTCCTCCCCTGGAATGGAAAATGTAAACTCCCTCCCTCTGAATTGCTGTAATTTTGAAATTAAGGGGCTCTCAAGCAAAGATATGGGAATAGGAATAACAGGTTTTATAAGGAAAAATTAAAAATACAAATGCTGTAGTACAAACAAACAAAACCACTGACAGAGTCAGAACACTACCTGACACCCTGTGGGTCAGGCTGTTGGCAGCAGTCCCAGTGAATGGTGGCTGCAGCCCTCCTGCAGTGCCAGGTGTGGTTCTGTTGGGGCAGGGATCCTGGAGAAGGGTGGAGTTTTCCTCTGAAGGTCCAGGCTGCTGCAGATGGGCCGGGGAATCTTCCGTCCTCTGGGAATCCAGTGGAGAAGACAGCTGCTCCTCTGGGAATGCAGTGGGAAAAGGCTGATCCTCTGGGAATCCAGTGGGAAAAGGCTGCTGTGGAATTCCAAACCTCAGATTCTATCCAGGTAGGAATGCTTGGCTCCTCCTCCTGGGCGGAGCATCACCTAATGGCAGGATGTCATTTTATCAGCCATGCAGGGACACTCAATGGCCCATTAACAGCAGATAATTAATAATTAATGGCCAGTCCATTATCAGAAGATATCTCCTGGAGGGAGGATTGGTTGTGGAAGAGATAAACTGCCTAATGAACAGAAGATAACTGCCCCACCTCTGACAGATGGCAAACAGAACACACACTTATCTTGCAATCCAGGACCTGTCCTCACTGGCTGCCCCCATTCTCCAGAGTTCATGGTATCCAGGGAGGCTGCAGCTGCTGATGTCAGGAACAAACAAGTTGGGTCTTGGTTTGAGAAAGCTCCAGAATCCATTTCTGACCCCCGACAGACAGGGCAAAGGCAGAGCCATGGGGTTTTTATAGGGTATCCCAGGGCTGGAGTTGGGGTTTGGGTCAAGGGAAGAGTTCTTAGCAACACAAGAAGGGTGAAATCAAATTCCTGCCTCTTAGACACAGAGGCACTCCACACAGAATGTGTCCCCAAGTCCTAAATTCCCCCTCAAACTCCTGATTAATGGAGGGACTTTGGACATCTTTGATCAATTTCATTCATTTAACACTGTTTGGCTGCTCTTAAGAGATGAAGATGAAGCAGAAGAAAATTCAGGACAAACGGAAAGGAGAAGCCATAGATGAGTGACCAGGGCTGTGCCCAAAGTGCCTCCTCCAGTGGGGGATGGAGCTGGAGCAGCACACGAAGCTCCTCCTCCCGCACTCGGGGCACTCGCAGGGCCTCCCTTACTGGTGGCTCCGCTGGTGCTTGTTCAAGTGAGAGCGCTGTGAGAAGCTCTTCCCACACTCCTCACACTCGTAGGGCCTCTCCCCAGTGTGAATGCGTTGGTGGGTGACGAGGGTGCAGTTGTGCTTGAATCCCTTCCCACAGTCGGGGCATTGGAAGGGCCTCTCCTCTCTGTGAATGCGATAGTGCCGGAGGAGACAGGAGCTGGTCTTAAACCTCTTCCTGCATTTATCACACTCGTAGGGCCTCTCCCCAGTGTGGATCTTTTGGTGGCGGATCAAGTAGGAATGCTGCCTGAAGCCCTTCCCACATTTCCCACACCTGTGTGACCGTTTTCCAGTGTGGATGTTCCGGTGCTGAATCAGGTTGGCGCTCTGTCTGAACCTCTTCCCACACTCCCCACACTCGTAGGGCCATTCCCCAGTGTGGGTCCTCTGGTGCCTGATCAGGGTTGAGCTCCGACTGAAGCTCTTCCCACATTCCTCACACTCGTGGGGCCTCTCCCCAGTATGGATTTGTCGGTGCATGACAAGATGGGAGTTGTGCCTGAAGCCCTGCCCGCAGTCGGGGCAGCGGAAGGGCCTCTCCTCTGTGTGCGTGCGCTGGTGCTGGAGGAGATCAGAGCTGGACTTAAATCTCTTCCTGCATTGATCACACTCATAGGGCCGTTCCCCAGTGTGAGTCCTCTGATGCCGGATCAGCTCGGACCTCAAGCTAAAGCTCTTCTCACACTCCTTACACTCATAGGGCCTTTCCCCAGTGTGGGTCCTCTGGTGCCTGATCAGGGTGGAGCGCCAGCTGAAGCTCTTCCCAGATTCCTCACACTCATAGGGCCTCTCCCCAGTGTGAACCACCTGGTGCCTCATCAGCTGGGATCTCAAGCTGAAGCGCTTCACACATTGCCCACACTCACAGGGCCTCTCCCCAGTGTGGATTACCTGGTGCCGGATCACGCTGGAGCTCCGGCTGAAGCTCTTCCCACATTCCTCACACTTATGGGGCCTCTCCCCAGTATGGATTTGTTGGTGCATGACAAGATGGGACTTGTGCCTGAATCCCTTCCCACAGTCGGGGCAGCG